ACAAAAGAATAGAAGGAAGATCCTTTTGCAGTTTGGGACCAGTAAGTAATAAGTCATTTAGACTAACTCCGTTGAAAGTTTTACAACTGGCATCAAATACTACACGAGTACGAGTCGTTGTACTGTCTTTAAATACGCAGTGGTGAGGAATATAATATCCTCCATCATGTGGCACAGTTTTCTTGTTGGAAAGCGACATATGCCCAGAGTGCAAATATTCCTTCATAAATGCGTGGTATTCTTGTCGTAGAGAAGCATTTTTCTACAATCTGTTTTCTAATTTTAAGAACCTAGATAACGCATTAGAATAAGAGTCACCCAACTCTACCTGGGAGGTTTTGAATGGTAAAGCTAGAATGAATCTTCCAGACTCGTCTCTAGAATGTGTTTTCTGGAATATAGATTCGGCTAGTTCCTCTTCAGAGGAAAATAAAGGTTGAGTAGGTATGGTCTCTAATTCCCAAAAACGTTTCATGGTGCTATTCAGATCGAAAGTGTGAGTAAAAGCACAGAGAGCCGTTTCTGGCTGAAGGGAAGATGAGTAACAGACATTTCCTGTAAGAATCCAACCTAAAGTGGTCTCAATGGCAATTGGCTGGTTAGAATTACCTTTCTTTAGACCACCGAGAAGAATATGACCGTAAATATCTGCACCTAATAAAATATCCACTTCAGCTGGCGTTTGGAAAGAAGGATCAGCTAAAGAGAGAGACTTTAGATGAGAACAGTCATCAATAGAAAGAGATGTGGCAGGTAAGGCGTCACAAATTACGTTCATAATAATAAAATCCACCGCGTAAGTGATACTAGAATCATGCAAAGAACGAATGACACTAGTAGTGGTTCCTTTAGTGCTATTTGAAGTAATATTATTTAACCACTGGACCGTAAGTTTGGAAGGTTTTAAGGACAGATCAAGTCTTTTTAAATAAAGTTGTGTAATAACAGAAGCATGAGATCCACCATCAATAAGAGCTCGACAAGTCTGATATTTACCATGAGAATCTTTTATTTGAATAAGAGCTGTTGATAATAATACGGATGTATTAAGATTAGAAACTTTCGACGATCTATTATTATGAGTGACAGTACCAATAATAGTTGTAGGCTCAGTAGAGGTGTTCACATTGGTTTTATCAAAATGTAGGAGCGTATGGTGTTTTAATTGACATACTTTACAAGTTAATTGAGACGTACAGTCCTTAAGTGCATGATGGTTAAGACAATTGTAGCATAGATGATTACTTTTAATAAAAGCATGTCTATCCGCGGAAGTTTTAGACCTAAAATCGTCACATTTATAAAGAAAATGAGATTCAGAGCAACAAGGACACGATAGTTTAGAGGAAGTACTAGAAGATATTTTATTGAATTGAGCAAAAGTATATTTTTTATCTTTGAAAGTTTTATTTTGTAAGTTGGCTGGTTTCTGTAAGTTATTTTTCCAAAGGTTGGACGAGGTTGAAGGTTGATGTTCAACCGGCCTCTTTGATAACAGGAGGTCCACTGCCTCAAGAGATTTAGCATGATTTTCTAGAAACTTTTTCAGTTCGTCAAATGTAGGAAATTCGTTATCCTTAGTATGAGTTTCTTCAAATTTATTACATAAACTACGAATCGTAGTCTACGATCAAGTTTTTTAAAAATCAGGATAAATGACCACTCATTAGTTGGAAGATCCAAGATAAGGCAGCTAAACTTTCAGAAATAAGATTTATGGTTTTAAAGATATCTACAGCATTATTTGGGATTTTATCAGGCAGTTGAGTAATATTGGACCAGTATTATTGGGCGGTTATTCTTTTATTGGAGTAGCGTTTAACCAATGCGTTAAATGCTATAGAATAATTAGAAGCCGACAAAGGGATGGCCTTTACAATTGCTAGAGCAGGTTCTCGAAGTGAGTTCAGCAAGTATGTAAACTTTTCGATTTCTGAGACAGAATTGTTAGAATGTACAAGACTCACGAATAGATCATGCCAATTTTGCCAATCCTCGTGGGAACCCCGAAAGATGGGTATTTCAAGTTTTGGAAGCCTAACAGAAGACTCTTTACCTTGGGATTTGTCTCCAAATAATTTATTGTAAATTGTCAAAATGTTCCAGTAAATCTCATCACTCCCTGCTATGAATTCTTTAAGCCGAGCTATTTCCTGTTTCCTGGAAGCCTCAGTGTAAACCTCAGAATGCATGATGAAATCAAGATATTCATCATGAACCCTTTCTAATGCCTTATTTGTACTCTCCGCCATATTAAACTTTGCGCTGAATTCACTTAATTTCGCAACATCAGCTTCGGCGGCTATAGCTGAAGAGTATCAAGTATAAGTAGAAAGAATAAGAATGAAAAGGGTAGCTTTAAATAAAAAAAAACGAGGTGATTTTGAGCTGAAATATTGAATACCCTCCAAGCGCCCCTCGTATATGTGTCAGAATATTATGTAAGGTCGTATGGAGTCAGTAGTATCGCAATACCTTATTTAAAATAAGAGAAAGATTTAAATAGGTAATTTTAATAAAATAAAATGAAAGATTTAATTTTGAATACGGGGGCCCCCGTATATATTTATATTTATATAGCAGGATTTGCGAAATAATTATTAAAGTTAAATTATACTATGTAAGAAAGTAAACATATAAAAAATTACTGCAAGAAAGAACTACGTACAATTGCCTAATTTAATTATTTGTTTGCAATAAACCAATCCTTAAGAACCCAAACTTATTAACAATAAAAATGAAAGAAAGTATTTAAAATTAAATAAAGTTTGGTTGATTGTAAAGAAATTCAATAGTTATGTTTACCGTTTTTATACGAACAAAAAAAACTACTGCAATAGGTTAATTTTAAATTTAACGATTTCAAACGAACCTGAATCAAATTTTTGAAATAGTAATGAATTTATTACTTTACCACCTTTCTAGATTGTTCTAGATTGTTTAAATTAATGCAAATTAAAATAATGACTACTAAATTTTTAGACAACTAAACTAAAATGTACAGAGAAAGAAAAGGTTATTTTACCTTTAAAAACCTAAAGATTGATTGAAAGTAAAGTTGCTGGAAAGGATAATCCGGCTCGAAGGACCATAAAATGTGAATAAAAGTTTGAAAGTTAGGAAAGAAAGAATAGAAAGGAACTTACTGTTTTTGGTTGCTGGTAATCGAAAATTGAAAGGATTTCTCAAAAGCCGGCATTTAACCGTTGTGCACTTCTTGCTTCGTTTTTAGCTTCTCTGTTTTCGCGTCTTGCGCGTTGTCACTCACACGCACAAATTTCCGTATATCGTAAATTAGGCGATAAATGTAGATGACCGGAACAATACGTAAGTGTAAGGTGGGTTGTAGGAACATGGGCAACTTTACCAATTATTAAAGTAAACAAAATAAATGTGTACGTAACACCATGCACTTCACCCATGATTCTTTACTGGTTTTTAGAGACTTCTGACATATTCATGTACTTTGGAGGGGCTATTAACACTCGTGCACATTGTTGTATTATTTATTCACAGTAAGCTTTTAGTATGTTTTCCATGACCTAAATGATATTTCGTAAAAATGACACACATGTCAGTCCTGTCGGTAATACAGGTACCTTATGGTTTTCCAATAGTAAAGTACAGATGTCGCTAGCGGCTAGCTAGGGTTGCCATACGTCCCGGTACACCGGGACATGTCACCAGTATCAAGAGCTTTGTCCCGGTGTCCCGGTTCGGGCTTCAAATGTCCCGGTCTGATGCCACCAGCTACCTAACTTCATAATATATCAAAATTCTAGAACTTTTTTTTGCAATTACTCACAACAATTGTTGTGAAGCGAGTAGTGGAAGATAAACGAGAGCGCACAGAACATAAGACGCTTTGTTAAACAGAGCTATCAGATTGTTGGTTATTTTTTACTTTACGACAAAATTAAAAGAGACCCTCAATTTACTGATACCATAAAATTATTTGACGGTGAAATTAAGGATTATTATAAAACAGCATTGGAATATTTACGATAGTGGAGTGCTCCTCTCGTCAAAGTCAATGTTTTTTCATGGATGACCAGAATGGGAAGAAGTTGAAAAAACTATATCCTATTTACAAGAAAAAGGTATAACCATCAATGATTGTTGTTTTGAAGAAGTATTGTACTTGAAAGATTTCATTACTAAATTAGAACATGATCCGGTCTGGAATGCTAAATCTATGCATGATAAATGGTTGTTCTTTTTTCAGCAAACTGGTATTAAAGAGCAAAAGGCAAATTTACTTTTGATGTGCCAATATAAATAGATTAGATTAGATATGTTCCTGGCCATAATGCAGGTGTTGACAGAATTTTCTCTTTGTTAGTTTCACAGTGGACCAAAGAGCGAAATAGGCTTTCTTTAAAAACTGTTGAAAGTATAATGTTTTGCAAAGTAAATTATAACATCACCTGTTCAGAATTTTATAAGTAGGTATGTGAAAAGTCAACCGGAACTACTAAGGCAAGTAAGCAAATCTGAAAAAAAAGATTGGCATGCGAAAGAAAAATGATTAGTGAGATTTTTTTTAAACCAAAGAGTTTGGTAATTTTTTAAGTTTCTTATTATTTAACAAAAAAAATTAATTAGTTGAGTATTTTTTTCACATTTTATGTCAAAACAAAACTAAACTTTTTCGAACCCACCATTATTATATATTTTCACTAATCCTAACTTATTTGTCGATTGTTATGGTCATTTTTACAAAAATGTCCCGGTGACCGCTAGCGGCTAGCCGAATCTAAGTCTAAGTTACACTAACCGGGGTTTTTACGGGCTAGGATATAAAAAAACTTCACGTGATTGGTCTAAATTTTTACAGCCTAGGAAATACTTTGGTATATGATAATAAAGCATAAATCATAGAACTCTTAAATATAAAAACATGTCTGTCAAAATATAATCATTAAATTGGTATGAGTGTGACTATGTGAAACAAATAGAAAAAGAAAAAAAAAATTGAGTTTAATACCATTTATTTTAATCTTAAAATACAATACAATATTATTATCTTAATTATTTATTCTTCTTTAAAATATTTTATAACATAATCCTGGGCTTTAATAAGATTAGCCATTTTGGATACTTTTGCTTGAAACTTGTTGCCTTGAACAGCACCTTTTCCTTGTAGAATATCACAAATTCTTAAAAAAATATATTTAGGTACAATACGTAAAGGAGCATATTATATTTATAATATATATAATTTTAAAATAAAGATTATTATATAGTTCAGGCCTTTAAAAGCAAAACCCGACAAGTAGTACATTTTCGTAAATTGAGTTTTTTACGCCATTTATTATGTTCTCTAAAGCGCTATCGATTTTCAAATTATTGTCTTGCAAATACCGACAATATCCATGAGATATATATATATAGAATTGCTAATCAGGTGCAAAAACAGATTTGTAGAAGCACTGTTTAAATTTAAACAGCGACATGTTCACGTCAGCCAATAGGAAAAATACTTTTGAAGATAATTCTGTAGCATCTACTTTAATAGAAACTAGCAGTACAACATAAAAGCTAATTGAATAATAACGCTTTATTCGGCTTTTTGTGTTTTCTGTAAAGTTCGTTTTAGCGGGTTTTGCATTTAGAAGCCTGAATTATAAGTAAGAGGCGTTTCTTAAATGACTAAAATAGTATAGTAACTTTTCTTTAAATCGCTTTCCTAAAACTATAGATTCGTATTTTCAACAGCGAATTGTGGGAATTAAAATACCTTTAAAAGCAAAGATAAGGTCAGTAAAAATGATATCCTATATTGATAACCAAAATTTGTTTGCATAATTAGTTACACAGTTAGCACAAGATAGCCAGTACGCATACAGACCGAACACGTTTGGCCGAATTGGCCGCGTACAGATTCGTACGAGATTCGGCATGTACTCTGTTAACCCGGCCATGTATAGTTGGCTGAGTGTCGGTCACGACCGCCTGGCCATCCAAAAAAAGCCTACAGACGTCCTGGATATATCCTATAGGTTTAGATCTGAAATCCTCTGAATGGCAAGCAGTGGCCTAACAAAAACTGAGTGCTTCCCCGCAAAAAGTTTTCTATAAGTTTTGAATAGGGGTCGGCCTTCCGTCAATGTGGGCCCCCCGCTGGCCGGGACCAACGCGGTGCTGGGGTGTTTGTTACAACATTGATGGCAAGACACTTCTTTAACACAATCGATTAACTAGCCATTATTCGTTACAAAGCAGATCCCCACCTTAAACAGTACAATAATAACAGATATTATGGCAGTGGCGGCTGGTTCTAGAGGGCACAAGGGCATGTGCCCACCCAACCGCCCAGATAAAAAGTAATACAAATTATTTGTTGCATTATGCATTATACGTAACACCATTGTAATTACTATTTAAGGATGGTCTCAAACCTTCCTTCCGTCCCATCAAACGGTTGGATTTAAACCTTCTTTCCGCAATGCTGTAGCGTGCGAATCATCGCCGGGGCACAGTTTGAAATGTACCCATTCCGAGTATGATTCGGTGATCTTCGCGAGTATATCGTCAATTTGGAGCACCGAACTCAATGTCTCTTCAACCGCTGAGCTGGTATCTGTGTCGATTTGTTTAATTTCTAACTTTTTTGTCGCCACGCACCGTTGTGTTTTTAAAGTGAATTACGTGTTTTGTTTTTTAAATAAACTTTATTTTTTATTAACAATAATGGCACCAGCGGAAGTAAGTTGTGTGCAAAATCTTTTAAAAAGCCCGATGTCACTTGAAGATAAACTTTTAATTAAGAAAAGAGGAAGACATATTCCCGACCTTCGAATACAGTACACTTTCGCAGGTTAAGGCCGAACTTACAATAGAGTATTCAACAGAAATATCTATGAAAAATTCGAGTGGATATGCAATGTTCAGTAACCAATAAGCTTTTTTACTTTATGTGCTTAATTTTCAAAAAAATAAATTACGTGCGTGGAATAAACGGGTCAGATGATTAAAAACACATCGCAGAGAGGGCTAAGAAACACGAAAATTCAGTTTTTCGCATGAAAAATAGGAGAATGGACTTTATGTTCAAAAATTAGTAGGTAAGTTTTTTGTGCCCACCCTCTTCCAGAACCTACGTTTGCCAGTCTGTATCTCCGCATTCACACATGTTTTATGAACTCGGCTCAAACTATTTTGCGCTTGGCACTTTTGGAGGTGGTATTGGCTCTTTATGGCTGTTTATGTCAAAAGACCGGTCGTTTTGTGGGCAATAAAGGAAAAATAGTACAAAAACCTCTTACTTAATGCTTGTTTAATTTTTGATATTGACTTTTAGTCGTTTTGGTGATATGTCACTGCCGTGTTGTTTGAAATGTGCACAAACACACTCCCCCAACCGCTTAAATCCGACTTTGCACGTGTGTACGGCGTCAGACATCATACCTTTATTTAAAAAATAAAGTTTGGCGACTAGTTATTCTTACGTCAGGTAACGGCAGCCTGTAAAGTGCGTCTATGCACATGAGTGCCTTTTTGTAGTGTCGTTTTGTTGCCTGGCCGTTATGGTTAAGTGTTTTTTCCTCGGCTGTCGATCCCCAACCCTGGCACTTACGTGCTACGTCGGTCCTTACAACTTTATTTTGAAATAAAGGTGTACCGACAGCCGAAAAAGTAGGCTTATATATAAGTTTAGGTTCTCACTTTTAAACGGTTACATGTGTCGAGCGAGGGTTTTTACACTATTATGGTGGTAAATAAATAGGTAATCGTCTGTAATTAGTCCGTGTTTTAATGCAAATTGTCTTTATGTTTGAGTTAAGTTACGTGTCAGAGACGAAGTTTTGATTTTTGTCGTTTAAAACTCATACACCCTTAAAGATTTTTGAGAAAAGTTTACTAGCTCTAACTTGGTTGGATTTATCCTGGTAGGCCACCTTTCCCATTAGGCTTTTAGCATGTCAAGATAGATCGTCACCTGTTTGTTTGAAACTGACGACGCGAACGAATGTGCGTCTAGCTTTTCTCAAAATGTGGGAGATCTGATGTGTACAAGGTGTACAGTTTCGGGGCTAACACAGTGCGAAGGCTTCTGAGCGTGTTCCCTGTACTCTTACCCAAAAGAATCTGTCGCCTAAGCCTTTCGTCTTTCTTATTTACCCAGAATTAGCCCTTCCGCTACCTTAGACAGGGTGTTTAGGAGACTAATCGGCCTATAGCTGACAGGTAGTAAGGCATACTTTCCGGGCTTGAGTATGGGACGAAACAGCATTTTGTAAAGTTAGTTTACTAATACGCTGTATCTACATTAACGATGCGGGACTTATGTTTGATCCCGACTGACGTCATAATTTTACCAACACAGCCCTTTTCAACAAAGGAATATTCATTTAATTACATTGTATTATAATACTGTAGCAAATTGATGATGACGAATGGTAAATAATTCAAAATATTAATGTAAAATTAAATATTAATGCTTTGTAATGCCATACTAGTATAGTATAGTATTGAACCTGGTACCTCTTGCATGCTAAGCGAGCGCCCTAGCTACCCTCTGAAATACCCACTGGGTAGTACCTACCCAGCTTAATAATAATAATTATTATTATTATAATAATGCCATTAAAAGTGGAAAAAGAAACGACAATTGAGGAGCATCCGTGCAAAACCGGCTATATCCACTTTAATAAAATGCTGGGAAAATGGCAAAAACTCTCGGTTTCCTGGCCTTTACAGATAAAAGAAAAAGCAAACTTGAGTTTTGTGGGCTTTGTGGTACTTGATTTATAAGACATACTTTCGTTTTCAAAAACTTTATATTAAGGCCAAAATTTCAAAAAATGTTTTGTATATAGCCTGTTTTGCTCAAAAACCTAATAAAATGTGAAAAAAAAACACCTTTATTATTCAAAAATATTAACAAAATAAATTTAGTGCAAACATGAAAAAACAGAACAAATTTTAGTAGTAGTATCGACATATCCAAGCCACATGCATTATTATTTATTGGATATAGCCGGGTTTGCTATAAAAACGTGGATTTGGCCAGTTTTGCTCCTAAAGCTACCTTTTAAATGCGATTTTAACATGGATATAGTCGGATTTAAACAGAATTATCTTGGTTGTCGATAGAAATGAACCCAAAGATGCGAAATCAGAAAAAAAACAAAAACTGAATAAAATGGATTTAGCCGGTTTTGCACGGATGCTCCTCAATTGGTAAACCGTAAATATTAAATTTGACTATTTTATGAAAACGTACAAATTATATTTTAATATCTGGATAAGTTTTATGAAGGCTGGTAAAGAATTTCGTAATATAGGGGGGGGGGGGAAAGAAACCATATAATTTAATCAATTTTTGGGGTTTTGTTTAAGCACAGTAAAATTTTAAAGTTTGCGTATTTTATAAAAATGAGTGATTGCTGGCAAAGAATTTCGTGATAATGTGTAAGAACACACATATGTAAATAAAACGATTAGAGGTGTTTGTGTTTAGGCACACCATTTAGGGTGGGAACAATAAATTTTTAAACTTGCGTATTTTTTAATTATTTATTTCTTAAGTTATATTTATTGTGTGGATGGGGGTTTGTGAGGGCTGGCAAAAAAATTATAATGGGGCAAAAGAACACATATAAATTAAACGATTTCAGGGGTTTTATTTAGGCACATTCTTTGGGGTGGGCAGTGAATTTTTAAAGTGTGCGTATTTTTTAAAAATATATGAGAACCCTAGAAGCCAAGGGATACAAGTGACATTTAAAAAAAAAATTGGTTATGTACAGAAAAAGATCCAGGGGAACTGAATTCTAAGCTTAGACATCTTGAAAAATAAAGTCATAAAACAACGAACAATTTACAAGTGTTTGTTTTAACTTTAAACATGATTATCTTAGAACTAAACAAATTGTACTTATACCCCTTGGCTTCTAGGGTCCTCATATAAGTTATCCATTCTACACATAAAATATTGATGCCAAAAAAGAGTTTATTAACAACAAAATTTAAAAAATCCAAAAATTAAAAGTATGTGGGAAATTATTAACAAAAAAGTAATTTGTAAAATTTCAGCCAATATCATAAATTCTTATTTTGTTTATATAGCTGATAAAATTTAAATTTAGTCAATTCCACAACCTGGACTAAATTCAACCACCAAAAGTATTAGTTTAATTTTAAGGAAGTCACT